ATAAAAGCCGTGTGGCCATTAAAAATACAAATGCAAGAATAGGCAATACTTTTATAGACAGCTAATAAAAAATTAAAAATCATTTTTATTATCAACTTTATCTCTAAGATTGCAGAACTACATTTAAGACAGGTGTCTAAACCTTTTAATAGTAAAATGAGTATTAAAAACAAATTTGCAGGTGACATTAAAACAATTAAATATTCAAATATTTTAATGTAATGTTGATTTATTTTATTATATCTTATCCATATGAGAGATAATAAATATTACTTTAAAATCTGAAATTCAGCTAAAACCTGTAATGTTGAAAGCCCTTATGGAATATTTTTCCTTTATTTTCTCACTGATGTGGATTTCTGAGAAAATGTTCTAGTTCTTGAAAATTTTCCAGTGCCCTAAGCAAAGTGTTTTCTGATTTAACACAAAATAAGTTATGTTTATTAAACACATTTTCAGTGGAAAATTTCCACTCTATGTCACTGGACCCTCCACTTCATTTCACTCCAGGGAGAAGTCCAACCGCCCTGCAGCCCTTGTAGCTGCTTCCTCTTTCATTTTGAAAGTACTCTGAAGCAGAGTTTCAAAGTGTGTGAATGGGATTCACCAGAATTGGTGAAAGTCTCCTGCTTTCCCTTTCTGGGTGAGTAGAAGTCTGCTCAGGGATGTTCATGGTTGTAGGATACACCACCATAAAGAAACAGACAGAAGGACCAAAACATCACAGTAGTGAATACTAGGGAGAATAAGAACCTGTTTAAGGGTTTTAGTTGAATCAACAGATGAAAGAAAAAGATTCTCGAAATACTATAGCAACCAAAAGTCAATTTTAAAAAATCTTATGATACCTTAAAGTTACTTGCATCTGAAAAAGTGGGCTGCAATCTTGTGAAAGCTTATGTCGGATATAGGATGTCAGTCTTCCAGATGCCACAAGACTCTGTTGTTTTTTTGATGCAACATGGAATTTCTTGGAAATTACAAAGATCCAACAGCCCCTAATTTTCTTAAGCAAGGTGGTTGAGAGGGTGGTGGCTGATCAGCTTCAAGCGCTCCTGGATGAAACAGATGCCCTGGATCCATGTAAGTCGGGCTTCAGGCCACGCTATGGTACAGAAACGGCATTGGTCGCCCTGTGTTACGACCTACTGAGGGAGGCCGACAGGGGCAAAGTGTCTCTGCTGGTCCTCCTCGACATCTCAGCGGCCTTTGATACCATTGACCACGGTATCCTCCTGGGGAGGCTCTCCGAGTTGGGAATAGGTGGCCTGGCATTGGCCTGGCTCTGTTCCTTCTTGGAGGACCATCTCCAGAGAGTGCAGCTTGGGGAAAGTGTCTCGGCCCCGTGGAGCCTCAACTGTGGGGTTCCACAGGGGTCGATTATCTCCCCAATGCTATTTAACATCTACATGAGGCCGCTGGGTGGGGTCATCAGGGGTTGTGGAGCCTTGAGTCATCAGTATGCAGATGACACTCAGCTCTACATCTCCTTTTTGCCAACTGCAGGAGATGCCGTTCTGTGCCTTCAGCGCTGCCTGGAGGCCGTACTGAAATGGATGCAGGAGAACAGGCTAAGGCTGAACCCGGACAAGTTGGGGATTTGGGAAACTCCCTCTCTTTTGGGGGGGTGACTCTGCCCGCCAAGGATGGGGTCCGCAGCTTGGGGATCCATCTGGACCCGGCGCTCACCATGGAATCACAGGTGGCGTCGGTGGTCCGCACCGCCTTTTTTCACCTTAGGCGGATAGCCCAGCTGCGGCCCAACATATTTCGCCCACTCTGGCCGCATTGCATTGGCTGCCCATCCGTTTCCGCATTGACTTCAAAGTGTTAATGCTTACGTATAAAGCCCTAAATGGTTTAGGGCCTCGATATCTGGCGGAACGCCTACTCCCACCAAGATCTACCCGTGTCACTCATGCGAACCAGGAGGTGAGGCTGAGGAGCCTAACGCCGAGGGAGGCCCGGAAGGAGAAGACAAGAAATCG